AAAGAAGCAACCCCCAACCCACATAACTGCACCATTGTAATTTTCACTCAGAAAGTTTAAAGGACCTTTTATCAGTGTTAGATGTGAAAAACTTCGGAATCTCTGGGAATCAAAGCCCCTGAGACAGACGACTCTGTCAATGCAGCCTGAAAGTAAAGGTCACAGCCACTGGCTGGGATTACATTCTAAATTCAGTTGTGAAGCAGCAACAGTAGTCAATATTTTGGTACCAAAGTTGTATACATATGAAAGTTAAAACAGTATCTTTTCAAATATGCAGTATTTGATGGATCCTGTTTTCAATGCCAGTCAGAAATGTTATTAATGGTTTCTTATTCACTTATTTAACTTTGAACTAACACGAATAACATGCATCTATTCCATCACTGTCTGGCGAAACCATTTGATGTTGGATTTGTAAATCAACAATATATGAGATCAAAATTAGAAAATATTACTCCTTAATGAAAAAAAACCTAATTTATTTTAGGCCCTTTCTGTCTTATGAGAAAGGCACACATCATAAAATAGACTTAATTTTAGCAAATTTAGCTAGTTTACTAAACCTGACCTTCAAAAATATGTCTTGGTTGTTATTTTATGAACCGAGTCAAACGACAATAAAGCTGAGAGTCATTTATGCAGATTTACTGTTTTCACTCTGCAGAATGCAACAGCAACGTGCTGAACAACTAAGCAAGTGAATCACTTAATATAACTTAGCAGCCCAAAATGGCAGAAAGGCTATTTCATATTTCTGGTTCCCTTGCATTACCGAAAGGCAGCTATCAGATGAAGAAAGAGAGAGAGGTATTTCAAAAGGAGAAATATGTTCCATTAAGTGACACAGACAACATGAAGCATAGGAAAAATGCTGGGATTAACTCTCTCACATTTGTTCCATTTTGTTTTTAAATCTGTGCTTTTCTTCATTTGTTTGTTTTGCCCTATTGATGTTCTCATTTTTTTTCTCTTTTTAATCTCGGACACTTTTATACTGAGGGAAATTTGTCATGAAAATGTAAATGCTGAACTTCTGCTGCTACCAAACATAAACCCCTCACTTAATGGTGGAAAACCTTCACTCTATTCAGAAGTTTAAACATTATTTCCCAGAGATAATATCAATTTTTCCATTTAAAATTATAATATTTCCCAGTGATGATATCAAATTTTGGCCCTTGAGCTCAGCTCCAGTAACCTTGGGACTCCATAACTATCTCAGCACTCTGCTGTATGCTCAAACTATTCTCTGCCACATGCTTTTTCATAAACAGAAGCAACAGTAATGAAGGGTTTCTATACAGTTTAATGAGTAGATCACATATCTACTATATGAAAAAACAGTTTGCAAATCTCTAGGACACACTTATATTTTGCTACATGCAGCCTAACTTTAAAACAAAGTGACGGTGAATTTGGAAGATGATGAGAAAAAGAATCACAATTATCTTCTTGCCAAGCCTAGACAGAGCAAAATGGTCTCACTATTACTGTAGTACTCAGCAATGCGAAAAACACAATTCCAGAAAACACAGAATATTTTTAGATCAGTATGGGTGAACAAATGAATAAAAGAATTTATAATTTCTTTTACAATTTGAAAATATATCCCAGTACAGGAAATAAATACACATGAATTTCAGGTATCTAATTCAGATATTTATTATTACTCTGTTTGAGTTTGCTTGAATCAATATGGACACATATTAAAACCTGGATGGAAGATATCTGAGTTATTATCAATCTCTTTGCTAGAAGACAAATGCCAGCAGTGCTGGGCAATCAACTCTTACTTGTTGCAACAAATAAGGGCTGGATTCTAAGCAAGAGGCCAAACCCCATAATGCAGTGCCTCTCTACCTGTATTTCCATAATGTATGTATCCAAAGCAGCCAATACCTAACAAAACCTGGTTCCCTGTAGAAGCTCAAGTGCTGGTAGTGCTCAAGTGCTCAAGAAAAATAGGAGTGGTCTATGGTTCCTCTCTGTACAGGTTTTATTGAGTAGGGCTGCATGGCCGGTCATCAAAAAAAAAATAGGGAAACAGAAGGGCAAAACATTATAAAATTATAAAAATGGTTACCCCTCCACCTAATATATAATTAGTCAAGGAGGTTCACCTTCAAGTGAGTTGAGGCAAAACCCAGTAACATTTAAAGGGGGTCTGTCCTTTTGTGTAAATAACAACAATATCAGAAGTTATAAAGAGTTAATGTGACTAAAGAGCATGAAAAGTGTAATCTTTTGAGTTTTGGTAGTCTAATTTATAAAAGTTTATTTTCCTGGGGTGCATTCTGTCCTTGGAGTGACCCAGTGCTTGCTGTCAGCATGAAGACATGAACAACCCCTGTCTGCTTGTGTGACTGGCATGTGTATTTATATCACTAGCATAATGTCCTTAGCATAATCAGAACCAGTTGTTCTAATGAAATGTACTGCTAAACAGCCATTACCCTGAAATTTTTGCTATTTAAAACACAAGAATACAGAATTTTTCACTAACACTTTCCATTCTTTCATCACAGCTGTGAAGGACTAATGCAAAACATGTTCCCAAAACAAACAACACAAGCACGAACATAACTTTGGCAAATAAAAGCTGGAAAGAAAGCTGGTTTCCTTTATTTAGCTATATATATTAATGGTGTTTAGGAATGGGCAATTAGTCTTTGCATTTTTTCAAAACTGATGCACCAAGCTCTCTCTATTCATGTGATGCTCTGAAAGTCATCTCATACAGAACTAAAAGATACAAGGCATTAAAGCATTCCTCCCAGGATGAGAAATATTTAGGATTAATTTGTTCCAATTTGTTCTAAATGTGTTGCCAGTTTTCATTTGCCAGAAGAATCTACTATATTCCTTCAAGCTGCAGTGAAATTACACACAACAAATAAACTGTACTGACCAAGAAATTCTCTCTCAAACATGGACATTCTGGTCAAACCTTGACAGCTTTGAAATACTCCTGTGAATTTATTTGGAAACCTTTGATGAGTTTCTTTACTTTGCTCCCACTCTGAGTTAGCACCTTAAAATGCTTGCTTAGCAGAAAAATTAATCATTTAAACCCCTTAATTAATTAACAGTTGCATGTAGACCAGGAAAAATGAAAAATTATTGCACATTTGAGAGAGTGCTAATTCCAGGACAAAAGTTACTATTTATGATTTATTGCTACTGGCTACCAAATGCCACACACCTAATTAACTCCCCACTTCCTATCCCAGAAATTGCAGGTTTCAATGTCTGAATGGGTCATAGTTTGTGGTTGGTTTCTTAAGGCAGGAAGCATTGCTTGTGTCCTCAAGGGGCAGTGGAAAGGTCATGGATGAAACCTAATTTTGTGTGATTTATGAGGTTATTCCCTGTTCCCCTCATTAAGGTTCAGGGTTGTCCTGAACAGCACAAGAGTCAAAGGGAGTCCAGAAGAAATGATTTTTACTCACATTGTCACATACTGTGACACCTGCTACTACTATTTGGAACTCCAAGACTGCCCTCTAGAACCTACAGAGACAGTTCTCATGAAGGAGGAAAGAAAGCACCTATTGCTCAGTGTCCCCAGATCTCCCGGTATGTCTGGCTTCACGTTTACATTAAAATAACATACTGACAGTCTTTTTTTTTTTTTTTTTAAGTATGGAAAACGATATATGGTGATTAAAATTAAGTTCCTGTCTCTGAAATTTCAATTTTGAGGTGAATGCAACTGGCCTCAAACTAACTGGCGATGAAACAACTGGCCATGAAGCTAACAAGGTATTAGAATCTGGTCCTACGTTGAAAATCAATTTTATTTTTTTTTTAATCCATGGGAATGCAATAGCAAAGTACTGGTTTTCCACTTATTTCAACAGATACCTTTGCCTATCTTTTCTCCCAACAGACTTTTGCGCACAGTCAACTCAATAAATGGGGCTACTAAGAGACTGTTCAGAGATAAAGCTAAAATACACAATATCCTATTCTGGTGTTATGTTCAATGCCTTGTGCTGTTTCCTGTCTTCACTAAACAACATCACATATTAAAGTGTCAGACAGAGGAAATTATTTGGACTGTATGGCCGCTGTTTGTTATATTAACATCAGTTTTACAAGCATATGAATAAAAATATGAAACAAAGTATGCGGGATGGAAAATTGTATTAGATTTCTTTATCCTACAATATATAAGGTATCAGAAATGGCAATAAGCCAGAAAGGTTGGGTCTGGAGTTTCCCTTCATATTATTTATCAGAAATCTGTTAATATTTATCACATATACCATGTTTACTGTAGGTAAATTTTTTTCCTTACGGAAATAGAAATAATTTTTGCTAGAAATATTTTGCAGATAAAACTTACATAAAGTACAGAGTGGAAAAGATGTCAAATGAGTTGTTCTTTTTGCATTGCAAGCTAGTAAGTGGGTAGGAATAAAATCTCAGATGCCTGAATGAATACCCGGAATTCACCTTTGCACCAGAGCATTTTATCTCTACTGGGAGGGGCCTTGCTGGTATGGAGTATTTCCTACCTGAAATTCAATTTGCAAGATATCCTTTGTAGGACTGTTACTCTTTCTTATATAGCTCAGGATGCCTCATTTGATTAATGTGTTGCTTTTATGTCAAGGGTGGCTGAGACTGTGGGGTACTAAATGTAGTGAATAATCTGTACTCTTGTACAAGCACATGACAACTCTTACTGCTTAAATGGTGAAAGTGGAGGGAAGTTCAACTTCAGAAGCTGGCAGCCTTTTAAGCTGTCCAGACCACTTTTTTATCTCCGTGGATTGTTGCTTTACTTTAAAGGGTGCTTCCTTATCAAGCTCATTGGCTGCTTGCCCAAATTAAAAAAAAAAACAAAACCCAAAACATTACCATAATTTTTTGACAACAAGGTGGAAATTTCAGTGTAGGTCAAGACTTCCACTGGTTGCTTCTTATGGTCTGGCAGATGTAAGTAGGTTGAATTTTTCCATCAATAAAGTAGAAAACATCCAGGCACTTACTTGCTGCTCAGGCAGCGTCGCAGTGAGTACGAGGCGCCTCCTCCGCAGGTGCGCGAGCATTCGCTCCACGAGCCCCACGCATCCCACAGCGAGTCCCGGTCCTCCTCAGAGCGAGCTGTTCTGGAGCTCTGAGGAGAGGGAAAAGGGAAAAAAAAAAAGAAATCAGGAAAGAACATTTAAGCATCAAAACTTCTGCTGCTAGTTTAAACCTTTCTTTTTGCTGGATATCATTTTGGTTATTAAAAGTACCGAATAAATTGAATAAATCTGTTCCTCTCTGGCATGCCTACTGGTTGACAACAGTTCCTTAGTAGTGAATGGTGTATGAATTCACTTTAATCTTTTGAATATCCTACTTCATCTCAGTTTGAGGCTAGTGAAGACTGCTCTAAGACAGCTCTTTGAACAACAGTGAGACAAAGTATCTTTTCTGATTAAGAAATGGAGTATTATAGACATCAGACATTGTGCTCTGAAGTTATGCTGCTGTGTTAGAGGCTATGAAAAGGCATATTGAAAGGAACCTTCCAAAATGCTCCTAAGGAAAAACTGAAACACAACATAGTGAATCAACGTGCTAAAAAGGCATTCTATATAATAACTTTCATGCATTTACCATGAGGAATTTGAACTATCATCGCATCTCTGTCTAAAGGTCTATGAAAATTGCTGGACAAAGTTTCCCTAACAGTTTCATCCCTACTGTCTGCTAGTTTAAAGAATAAAATGCTCATTCCCTGAAAAGCAGAAGTTAACAACATCAGAATGTTGGTCATAAGCATATATGTCACAAACATGTAGCAGTATCTGTCTCAAATAAAGCAGTCATACCTATACTCAGCATTTCATCTTCATTCATGCAAATGCACCGCAGAAACATAGATTCGTAAGGACACAAATTATTTAACCATATAGATAGATATTGTCCTTAGTGGGCAATATGTTTTTGCTGGAAAAACTGACTAATCTAGCAAAGTTGCACCGAAAATGCATGTGTCTGATGGAGATAGGCAGTGTTCTCCTTCAAAACTTGTGCTATGGGCCAGCACCTGGTGAATAGCAGTTCTAACTGCACTTGATATTAATGAGAGAGAAAAACAAGGACATGAGTGAGACTTTAAAGATACACTTAAACAGCAAAAACATCCACAAGCATCACTGCTGGCCCATGTTACAGCTTTAGCTTTCATAGCATCACAGAAGATACTGAGTAGGAAAACACCCATCAGAATAATCAAGTCCAACTCCTGGCCCTGCACTGGCCACCCCAAGAGTCACACCATGTGCCTGAGAGCGTTGTCCAAACACTTCTTGAACTCTGTCAGGCTGGTGCTGGGACCACTGCCCTAGGAAGCCTCTTAGAGTGTTCAAATATCCTCTCAGTGAAAACCTCTTCTGGATATCCAGTCGAAATCTCCTCCTCCTCCTGACATCTCCAGGCCATTCCCTCAGGTGCTGTCACTGTCACAACAGAGAAGAAATCAGCACCTGCCCCTCACAAGGAAGTTGTAACTGCAATGAGGTCTCCCCTCAGTCTCCTCCTCTCCAGGCTGAACAGACCAAGTGACCTCAGCTGCTCCTCACATGGCTTCTCTTCAAGGCCCTTCACCGTCTTTGTTGCACTCTTTTGGAGCTCTCCAACAGTTTAATGTCTTTCTCATGTTGTGGCACCCAAAAACTGCCCTCAGCACTCAAGGTGAGACCACTCCAGCTCAGAGCAGAGCAGGAGAATCCCCTCCCTTGCCCAGCTGACAATGCTGTGCCATCAGCCAGGACCTCCTGTTTGTTGGCAACATTAAGGGATTATTTGAGACACAGAGATAACTCAACACTGAAATAATTTCACCTTCAGTAAAGCTGAGTAGTAGCAATGAAATATAGTGAAATATGGTAGTAATGAAATATGGTGAACCAGCCCTGAATAATTTTATTCATGAGTAAAAAAGAAAATTAATTCAGTCTGTGAGAGATAATCTGGGACCTGTCTAATAAATGTGTTTTACACACTCATTTTGTCTTAGCTTTATTTAAAAAAAAAACAAAAACAAAACAAAACAAAAAAACAAAAACAAAAAACCAAAAAACCCCACAGCAATTGCAAGGGTAAATGTAAAACTTAAAGTTTCATAAGCAATCAGATTCTGATTATGACTATATGTGACTAAGTCTCTAGATTTACATTGGAGATAGAAGACATGACAACTTACTGAGGTTATTTCACCTGGTTGCTTTTTGAAGAGTAATTTTTATAAAGTAAAAATGAATATTTACAGTTTTATTCTCTTAAAATAAAAATACATGTTGGTGCTTCCAGTTTATAGGAAAACAAATACCTTCAAACTGCAGATGGGGGCATGACCTGATCATTCACCCTTGGTTGAAAGTTCAAAGACATAATTTAAGAGGGTTACAAGGTAAACTCACGTGAACCAAATACTCTTACTCCACCACATATGATAGGCATCAGCACAGCTAGACATTCTGTGGGTCCAAGTTCTTCTGACATAAATTGTGATCCTACCCAGAAGCGATCTGTGAGCCTATTACTTGCATTCCAAAATTTGCTTTAAGACCTATATATTCCCAGAAAACATGTGATCTCAACCTGGAACAGGGTCCAAGTTTTCTTTTAACAAGTGGAATAAACATAATTCATCTCAACACCATCCATGTTTAATGTTAAAGAAAGTAGAGTGTTTTCCTTCCTGTGAGTGAAAATTGAGCTTGAAGTTCTAGCAATACCCAAAAAAGTCGTTTCAAATCAGAAAACAACTGTCCATTACAGATTTATTCCAGCTCTGAAGGAGATATACACAATTACTAGCTAAGAATTCATTGTCTAGCACAGATTTTTCAAAAGTAGTTTTTATAGGCAGTTAATAACTGCTACCCACTTTTGTCAAAATGAACTCAAGATCTTACTTTAAAGTAGCAGTCAAGAGTTCTGCAGTGGAACAACTCCTACAAAACTTCTTTAAAGCCCTGAAGATCCTGCCATAAATAGTAAAGAGAAGAAAAAAAAAAAGAGGGGGGGAGTATATGCCCTTAAAGAGTAAAGCTGGCACCACCTAAATCTTTCTTTTAGTAACAGTTCCATCACAGAAAACGTCTTCTACTCTGCCAGAGGTACTCCAGATTGGTGGTTCTCAAAATCCAGAGTATGTCAAAAAAGCAAAATGCAGTCATCTAGGCTCCTTATGCCCTGTTGCTGGTACCAGAAGACCTTCCTTACCCCTTCTGTCAAATCTAGGTGGATGTCAGCCCCAGCTTCCCAGAAAAAATCCATTTCTTTGTTGAGACAACTCAGGATGCCCTCACATCATAAGTATCAATTCAGAAATGCCACCCTTAAGCAATTTGCTTATTGATGACCTTTATAAACAAATAATTCTGCTAGCACTAATCAAAACCAGATCTTCCTTAATCCCTTACTATCTTAGTATACACATCTTAATCTGATGGTGATTCTGCATCTACCACCCCACTCCCAAAGAGCTGTCTAATGAGAAATATGAAGAACAGCTTGTGCTATTGGACCAGAAAGCAAAAAGGATCCTGTGTAAAAAATGAAATCACTCTCAGTAGATAGGGTACTCAGGTGAAGATGCTCACAGAAGTAAAAGAAAAAAAGTTTTAAATTACAAGTCAAAAAAAGGAATTTTCATAATACAAACAAAAAGGAATCTGACATAATCAGATAAGACTAACAGAGACAGATCTCCAACCTGATTCTTCAAAAAATCCAGCTTCAGTGTTTAATAGTAATTTCTGAATTTACTGAAGAGTTGTCAGGCATTCATGTTATACTCAGTGGTGCTTCCTACCCTTTCTGCTTACAGTGCACATAATTCATTTAGACTATTCTGGAATACAAGTGTCACACATCCTTAAGTCACAACACCTACCCGGACATCCATGAGCTGAATGCCTGATAAGAACCAGGTTTCTTTTAAAAGCATAAGTGTGCACATGTGTGTAGGTGCATAGAAGGAGAAAAATGAAGAGCAGCGAGACCTGTTCATGTCCTGAAGTCTACAAAAGAAGTTTAACCTTAAAATAAATCTTAGTCACATATTGGAATTGAATTTAAAATTTTGTTTGGAACAGTGCTATCCCTACAGAATCCAGCTATTTGTCAGTGCCACACAGAAGACTGTGTGTATAAACACAGATCACGTGGTTTACTTTCTCCTCTGGTTCTGAGGCATCCAGTTTTCCTCCTCTTTCAGTAAAAGGCTGCTGAAGTCCTTTTTTCAAGCACCCAGTGTGTTTCTTAGATTAAACAGCAATACAGACAGTGAAAAATGCAATTAAACCCTTGTTGGACTACAGCATTGATACAGAATTTAGGCCAGTTATTTCCCAGATAATATGAACCACTGGTTTGCTTAATAAATTTATATCATCTGGTTCTTATCATATCCCCACTGTTTCAGGGTATGATGAAGTGTCAGTGACAATATGCAAGGCTCCTCTGAGGCCACTGCCTAAACTTGCCTTTAGCTACTGTAAATATCATGCTAGGGACAGAAAACTAGTATTTTTTCTTCTGTAATGGTCTTTCTGCCCAGACTTTTCAGCTAAGTTCAAATGAATCCCTGTATGAATTCTTGCCAAGCCACACATTCTTCTTTGAGTAATCCTTGAGCATCCTTTGATGTTAGTTTGTCACTGAGATTAAATATATATTTCACACAGTTCTGAAAGGCTGTCTGCAGCAAACCAGGAAGAAACTGCTATCAGCACTTCCCTAGGTGAGTAACAGCATGGGACAAGGCCAGTGACCTCAACTCCTTATAAAAACCATGTATTTCAAAACTTCAAAAAACTTCAACCAATGTAAATGTATGGTTTATAAGATTTCATTTGCGCAATGTTATGTATCTTTATTGCATTCCATCCAAGCTAACAACTGGATGGAAGCCCACGTGGGAAACTGTTTGGAAATTTCTGGCTTTTGAAAAAAGGCAAGGCAGAACAAATTCATAGCCAGTTGAATTGATATTGGTAATTGCCACCGGAAAGAATGTTAGCATGAAGACATTTCTGACTAACTGTTGCAACTTTTCAAAGTGAATATCTTGAAAATTTTATAGGTAAAATATTCTGACATATCAAGTTTGCGACG